TTACAAGTTAGTACGTCTACAACAGTACAACTACAAGCATGTGACTAAGCAATTGCAACAATAAAGTAATTTATAAACGAACTGTCAAATTTGGGTATAATAAATGGAACTTAGGCCTGAGTCTAAGTATTGAAATTCGTTTGATATACAATTTTCAAATGAGAAGGGAATGATTAAAATAGATATACGTGAACACCTTTATATTTGTTAAGAATAGTTATGTTTTATATTAATAAAAGGCTTAGTTTATTTTTCGTCCATTAATGTTTTCTTGTCGACTGAGGATTTTTAGTTTTACCTGAGAAGAATACAAAGGTGTTCGTTTACAAATTGAATGCATTTCAATACTAAGATTCCAGCCAAAAGTTTTATGTATTATATCTAAATTTGACAGTTCACTGATAAATAACTTTATCATTGCAGTTACTTAGTCATATTCTGTTTTATTGCTATTGTTATAGGTTCTCACGTGATTATTTTTTAAATTAAATTATGTTAGCATCAGTTCTTGTACTTTTGTATCCCACCTGATGATGATGCCAGGTAAACCTGGTGAAACGTTGTGCATTAAATAAATAAGTTTTACAATATACAACTGATCAAAACTTGTGTAAAATCTAAAAATTACTAAAAATGTATTACTTACCTAATACCATTAGCCACTCTTTAGTTATAGTTCTTAAGAGTTAGACAAATTAGTGTAGCATTAGTTCTACCATTATTAATAGTTTAACATTGTTAATATGACAGTTATAAATTACATTCATGTTATTTTATTAAATTAAAAAAAAAATTAAACTGCCCTTTGATTCAAACTTTGAAAGATAGGCTCAGTTAAATTGTTGATAATGGGAGTGATTTGAATTTTTAGGTATAGGCCTATGCAGTCATTGACTGTGTATGACATTAACAACGTTGCCTGGTGCACATATATAAGTACTTATTAGCTGAAAGTATAGTTACATTATTATGTTTATAGTTCTGTTTATTTGAAAAATAATAATTTAATTTCTAAAATTACACAAGTCAGTAAATTGTTAATATTTTCCTGGGCAAAAAAAACAGACAAATTGGTTATGTATCAAATGTTGTACAAATATTAAATCTCTTATCCATTTCTATAAGTATTACTATTAGTGTTATTACAGTTTGTTTATAAATTTTAAAATAAAATGGAAAAGTAAATCGGCTTAAGAATGTAAGGGCTGTCTAGATCTAAAGTTACGTTTGTCCATACTTTATTTTTTTTTAGGAAACTTACAAGATATTTTGAGAGGAAAATATTGGAGTTTGAAGTATTTCTGTTAGTTTGAAACTAACTTGAATTATACAAAATGTTTCTGTTCCACCAAAGCTTTCCTTAAATGGAGGAATTAAGCTAATAAATGCAAGGGGATTTTGATTGAGGTAACTCCAACTCTGGGATTGACATACATCACCATGCACTTTGATATGCCCTCCATTTTTCATCATTGTTGGTTTTCCAAGAAAGCATACGTGGTTGTGTATCACCAGTGTTGTGATGCAGGATTGTTGCCCAACAATCTGATCATTTGGTCCCACAAACACATCAGTATGATGAACATCTCCTTGGAATGTCTCCTACAGTGGAGCTGGCAGTTGATGCTATAATCAAACCTCATTACTGTCATGAACCCTGAAGACTGTCTTGGAGTTGAGTTCAAAACTGCAGTTGCCACTGCTGCTGATTCCTTCCTCTGCTTTGATGCAACAGATCTAAAACCTCATTGAGACCCTTGTGGTGTTTCTTAGGTTCAGTTAATAGCCCTTAAATGAACTTGTTAAATATTATCTCATTATAATCACCAGGGAAAAGTTTAGGAATGCTTTTCAAAGTAATATCCTTAAGTTGTCCAAGTAAGTAAATATATTCTAGTGGGGCTCTCATTTCAAGTTTGGATAACATAGTTTTTCATAGAGTAGAATCTGTGGTGCTATTCATTGAAAACTATGGCCTAGTCATTGAGTTGCTCTTTATTCAAATGTTTTGGACCAAGTAATACTCAACCTAAACTTAGCATCAGATGATGCACACCCTGTCCCTCAGATCATTCTAATCAACAACTTGTTTAAACTGCTTGAAAAAATTGTCTGAATCTTCTTTTACTGATATGATATCTTACATCTTCTCACAAATAGCTTTTCTTGACTTATACTTTTGCTTGCCACTAACCTTGATATTTCCGCCTACCCCCATGCGAGACATCTGCATGATATCATGCAAATAATCGTGTAGGAACCCTCCACCAATAGGAGTGTGACCCAACTCTTATCATCACTAGTGCCCTCTCTTCTGTTCAGCCCGTAATAACTTCTTGACTGGCAATCTAACTGTCAGGATGTGTTTTCAGACTAAATTTGTATTTCATTGATCAAGTTTACTGTTTATTATTTGGCTGTGTATTTGTTCAACTGCAATTTTTTTTACTTTTTACAGTTTTATACATTCTGTTTGCAGAAAAAATACTTTCCACTGTCAATTCTACTGGTTTTATGAACTCATAATTTCACTTGGCATCCACCACAACTGCTGTAACTACTACAACTGATTTGCTGGCCACTGCAGTGGCATCTGAGCAAGCTTTATCTGCTCAGGAAGCAACAGCACTGTCAAAAAGTTATTAATTTTGTTAACAAAAAAGATGCACAATTAAAAGCTTCTTTTATTTAAGCTCAAAAGAAACTGCTTGTTGTAGTGAGATAAGACTCGTAGAATGCTCTTCAGATATTCACATTTATTTGGGAAGCATCATTACTACATTGATTGTTAATGTGTGTCTATGTATCTTCATTGAAATGCAGCTTTAAAAGCTATGATTAAATAGCTGGCCTTATGGATTGTAACTTTATTTAATGATAAATAACTGGGAGTTAGCTAATTTTATGCAGTCTTCTGCATCACCTGATGATTGTCCTCACATATGTGAAAGTTTGCCTGAACATGGCCATGAGAATTTGGACAGCCTGCTTTCCCCTTACAGTCATGGGTCATTTCAGGATAGGTACCTGGGCCTCTTTTTCCCATTTCTAGACTTAATCAATTGGGTATGTTATGTTTTATCTTTATCTCCCATTTCCTACGATTCTACTCCTGACTTTCTCACTGATGAGGCTCTGGGTAAGTATTCAGTGTTTTCTCCCTTTCTGGATATTGAGGTTCATGCGAGTCATTTTGGGGATCAGTTGTATTTAGGTGTCAGTATGCCTCGACCTCCATGTATTCTGGACAATAATACTCTGGTATATCATTATTCTAACTTTCGATATTTAGACTTGCAGCTTTTGGAGTCACTTTTTGGGGATTGGACCCAGATACTTTGGTTTCCTTTTCCCAGCCCTAGTTTTCCCATCAGTTTGGAGTTTGTTTGGTCTATTGGGCACAGATGGTTCATTTTATACAGCTTTGCACTTAAACAAGTGTGTGATAATCTGAAGTATATTTCTTTAGGTTTCTGTCTTGTAAATGATATATTAGACTACAGTAGATAATTCTTTTTAATTTTGTTTTTTTTATTTAGGCCAGTGGAATTCGAGGTGTACACTTTTTCAACTGGGCAAGAACTTTTGGTTGCTGTCCGGAGCTATTCTTTGCTCCAAAAACAGAAGATGAAGTTATACAAGTAATGTTTTAGCATTTAAGATTTTTTGTATTTACCATAAAAGATCTAAAAGTGTACTGGATAAAGATTGGTGGTTCAAGTGGGAAAACTTGTACGAATGTAATTGGAAATATTTATATAAAGAATTTAGATTAATATTTCATTCTATAAGCTTTGGTAGAAAATGTGCAAGTTCTGGTAATAATCAGGTGTATGGTCATTTTAAGTAGAGCTGGGTGATTGATTATTAATCAATATAATTTACTACTTATGAACATTGACAACATTGATTAATATTACAAAAGTTATTATGTAATGAAAAATAGTACTACCAGTGATTATAGTTTTTGATTATTCGAACCATCCAGGTAATAGGAATATTACCATTATTATTTTCAATTAATTGTCCAGGTTAATTAATCAATTGGTATCATAATTCATGAAAATAATAAACTGATCAAAATTAGTGTTTCTCATTTATTATTATTTGTGAATAGTTAAACGTAATCAGCTAATGAGTCTGACAATTAATCGATTATTACGTTTCACTGATCACTCAGTTATAATCTTAAGCATACTTGTTAATTATTTTGTTGTTTTTAACTGTGGTGCTAACTTGAGAATGGATACATTTAAGAGAGATTACAAGGTGCTAAGATTGTTTTTAAACACTTGAAAAAAAAAGAACGTCAATTGAAAAGTACTGGTAATATTTAGATATTCTCAGAAATATGAAGTTCAGTTTTTTACTAGAAATTATGTTATCCTTTCAGTTCTTCACAGGAATTTCTGCAAATACCCGTTCATTTTAATAAAAAATCTGAATTTTAAAGCAGATTTGTATTTTACCTGATCTTTTATAAAAATGCTTAACATCATAATGATTCCTTACAAAAATATATAGAATTTATATACCTTTACAAAATATTTAATTTCAACATATTATATGTGCTTTCACAACTAACTGTAATACGAAAAATTGCTTGGTACAGATATTAATCTTTGCAGTAAAGCTTTAAATATTAGTTTCTTTCCACAAAACAAACTCTAATCACCTGATTATAGTGTATGAATTTTTCTACAGAAAATACTGATAGAACATGGTGTGTGTTTAATTGAACATCAGAATTTAAAGTCTCCATTACCAATGTATGCATAATGTATGTGACTCAAGTTTTTCTTCACGTGTCTTGTAAATTACAATTTAAGAACAAATTAGGCTTTTGTTCTGAACAGTTAGTGTTTCATGAAAAGTTTTTTTCATTTTCTTTCATTTTAACAAGAGCCAAGATTATTTTGGTGAAATAGCTCCATTTCATCATGTTGTAAATTAGCATAAAAATATAGTTCAGAAGTAATAGCTAGGACTACATCTTGGACGATGATTCAAATCATTAGTTACTGTTAGTAACATTTAATTTATATTTTTAAATTGTGTATGGGAAGTAGTGTAATGTAAGGAAAGATGAAAGTGCTTGTATTTCATTAGCAAAGCCCTCCAGGAATATGTGAAATGTATTAGTATAATATTATGTTGTGTGTTTTCATGCTGCTAAAATTCTAATTAAACTCTAGTTTTTAATCTCCTCCCAAACTAGACATACTGTATACATGGTTTAAATTTTCTGTATAGTTATGGCATTTTATAATACTCAAATTTGTGATCACTTCCATAAAACTGAAATATTTTTGGAGCTTCATGTTATATATTTTTGAAGTTATGAACTGTATAACTAGAAAGTATATGTTTCGAAAATGGTTATAACATAAATTATGAATTGTAATATTACACATTTTGTATTAATTACGCTGCCATTGGATTCAAGATAGGAGAAAACAAAGTCTTATAATAAAGATCAAGACAGTTAACAAAACCCAAAACATTTTTACTTACAGAAGCTTTGCATGTTTTGGAATAAACTTATTAGTATGCAACTGTCTTAACTTTTCCCAAAAGTTTATTAATGTTTCCTACGTGGGTGATAAATTGCTAATTTTTATTAAATGCCGTCACATAATTGCTATTGTTTGTTTTTCTAACATGCAGTAATCCCCACTGATCTTGTCTAAATCAAATAGAATGATAATCATATAATGAAAGCATGTTTTTCTCTCACAGTAAGGATAATAATGTTTTTAAGATATACCTTGATGATAATTAAATAGCAAGTTAGACTAGTTATGTATATTGTGTGAATAGGATAAAAGCAACAACAAGAACATTCGATGAAGATTACCTATCATATACACTAATATTACACGCTATTGCTTAAACATCTCTCATCTCCTTTCCTTCACCCATTGACCCAGACTTTCCCATCTGATAATCCTTTCCTAGTCCTTCTATCCACATTGATGTTTGTTGATCTTTTGCTACTTTCCTCCTGACATCTCCCTTTTCTTTACCCAGATCCCAACTGGTTCTCTTTCAGCCATAAAAAGTTTTTACTTGAGACAGTGCAATGGATGAACTTGTATCCTTATTTGTAAAACCAGCAAGTGCAAAGTAAGAGTGTGCAGGCAGACACTGAGGTCCCAGTCAGGCAAGGGAACAGAGCAAGTGTGTCTATGGTTAAGGAAGGACTAGAAAAAGGTGGAGAAAATTGGGGAACAAACACCTTGCAGTATCAAAAAATGCAAAATGGTGAAGCTTAGGCCACCTGACAACCGGCAAAGGTAGGGACAGTTGAACCCCGTCGAACAGCCCAGTTTGACTCTACAGGACAGTTGCAGCCTGCAGGAGGAGGGCATGTATCTTGTAATGTACTTACCTCAACTCGACTAAATAGATGCAGAGTGCAGGTGGAGGGCACAGCATACTATGAAGTGCTTCTGGAATGTTGTTGAAATAATTATATGAAGGGTGATCTGCACTACCTTAACAGTGTCACCACTGCCACTGATTGGTACCCCTTGTTCTAGCTCCAGCTTTTAGATCCCAATCAGTTAGGGTTCTCCATGGTCCACCACTCTAGTGGCTAGAAAATGATAAGTGGTCTCCTATCTCCAGTCAAAGAGAAAAGGGGAGAGGAATTCATGATGGGAAGACTCAGAGAAAATGGTGGTTGCGTCTTTTCAAAAGAGTTAAGGTGAGCACACACTATATGTACCTGCCCTCCTCCTACAGCTGATGCCGTCCAGTCAAGTCAACCCATGAACACTTAATATTACATAACTTATGACAGGAATTTCTGTGCCCTCCTCTCACAGCTGGAGTCTGTCCAAAAGTCTGATGGTAGAGTTGAGGCGAGCACACCTTAACCATTTCATACACTATATCATGAATTCTGTGCATTCCTTCCACAGCTGGTAGAGTTGAGACAAGCATGTATGATTAATTTTTGTCCTCCTCTTGCAGTCAATGTCATTCCAATAAGTATGAGAGTACAGTTGAAGTGTGAACTAGGTATTGTCTGAATGTGGCCCAACCACACTACAAATTGGCTCTCCAATCTCTTGTGTGCAAGTACTCAGACAACCATGTTTATATTCCACCCGTTTGCCTCTCCCTTCCTTCTACTCTGGGTGAAGAGTGTACCTGGAAGAGATGAGATGCGGTCTCCCATGGATATACAGCTATGGGAGCTCCTGCCATCGAGAGTCGCACTCCATGGCTTTCTGAAGGGTGCTCATATTATTAACTTTTACACTGGTCCATCCACCGTATTCTAGCTTGCTGTATGAAGAGGTGTGTAGTGTCTCAGAAGTTAACATTTTCCTTACCTAAAAATGTATTTCCGATAGATACTTACCTTTTCACACACTTTCCACCCTTCCTCCAGTGCAACTTGTATTCCTTGCCTCATCATAGAATGAAGATCACAAGCGCAAAAACATTGCGAGAGTTAGAGTGCAGGGACCTCGTGTTGTCCTCCTATTGCTGGAGAGCTTTTACTGCATAATAACGTCATTATACAGTAGCACTAGTCATGAGAAATCTCGTGAGTTTAGGTAGGAGTTGCCTAAAGGCTAGTGGCAAGCAAATCTCTAAAGCAGAAGCGCATGGGGGAAGATATCTTTAATATCTTTCTGTGTGGGAATTGAGTATCTGTTGGAAATACATTTTCAGGTAACGAAGATGTTAACTTTAATCTCTGTTCAAATTAGTCTATTTTACACAAAGAAATTACATTTCTGCACAAACACCTGTTAAACAATGACTATCTACTGACTTTCTAACGAACATTACTTGTAAATTTCTAAACAACAATTACTATAGGATCTTCAGATCCTGAATTCATAATTAATGAAAGCTTAATCATAGCAAAGACCATCGAGCTCTTAATGACGTACAATGTCCTTACACCTTAAATTATTCTGTTAATGAACGCTTAATCATAGCAAAGACCATCGAGCTCTTAATGACGTACAATGTCCTTACACCTTAAATTATTCTGTTAATGAAAGCTTAATCATAGCAAAGACCATCAAGTTCTTAATGACGTACAATGTCCTTACACCTTAAATTATTCTGATGGTTTCACTTAACACTCGGCCATTTGTTAAGAATAGTTATCACGTGATGTCTCGTGCATTTTATAATTTGTGCTATTTCTGTAACACAAAGACCATCGAGCTCTTAATGATGTGCAATGTCCTTACACCTTAAATTATTCTGTTAATGAAAGCTTAATCATAACAAAGACCATCGAGCTCTTAATGACGTACAATGTCCTTACACCTTAAATTATTCTGCTGGTTTCACTTAACACTCAGCCATTTGTTAAGAATAGTTATCACGTGATGTCTCATGCATTTTATAATATGTGCTATTTCTGTAACATACTCTATAATCTGTGCTTTTTCCAATTTATGAATTTACTGAATATTTTAAGTAAGCTATTTATTGAAGTTATTATAACATTAGTTAGTAAATATGATTGTAATATTATTTCCAGATTTTGCTGAAGATGGAATAAGTATATTCTGAAATATTTAAACTTCTGTAAATAAATACTTTTTGTAAACCATGTACATCAATCATTATTATTGTACTAATTACATTAAGGCTTAATTTATCACAATAAGAAGTTCTAACATTACAATAATGTTGTATTGTTTATGTGCAAAAGTACTTAACGTTATGAATCCATTCTGTTATAATATTGAATTTTCTCATATAACTTATAGTAAGTTACACCTCCAGCGTATGATATTCTAGTTTATTGTTTTCGAAAAGTATAAAAAATTCATTCTGATTGAAAGTTTACTCAATAAGTGGTTAATACTAGTATTGTAAAAGATTATATGTATGTGAGACAAAAGCTGGATTAGATCTTATATAAACCAATATTATGAGATTTAAAATTTAATATCCTTCCAAAATTGTACTAATAATAAATACTGATTTTATATATTTCAATGTTCTGTGTAAACTCTGTAGCAGTGAAACAACAGAAAGTGGAATGAAATGGGTAATAACTTAGAATGAATAATATTTATATTTATTGAATCCAAAGAAATTATAAGTATTTAGAGGGTGTAATTTTAGAAATATTATGATGTGACAAAAAAATTATTACCAACACTGGAAATAAATGTTTTAATTCATGCAGTGTTTCATTCTTTCAGCTCTGTTACCTGAAATGACAAAAAGAAATGCTCGTGAATTTCACATATAGCTTAACTTAATTAATTTATGCATTAAAAGCATAGAGAAATTACAATTGTATTGCATGTGTTGGCATTGAAGGTGATATATTGCTAATGTTATAATAAAGAAATTTGCTTTGTTTTACAAAAGTGGTTCATTAATTGCTTGTCAGTTTTATAAAAGAAACTTGGAAGACGTTTTTTTTAATGTATTTTCAATAAAACAGTTTAAAACAATTATCTAACCAAAAAAAGTTTTAAAAATCTTTTCATACAGTGTTTCTCAGACATACATTATATGTGTTAGAGCTGACTGGCATTATTTAATTTGTTTTTCACAAGTTGTGTATTTAAAATTTTACCCTAGATTATTAACCTGGCTCGTGAAGAGAAGAAGAAGATACGAGTGGTTGGACATGGCCATTCTCCATCAGACATTGCATGCACCACAGATTTTATGATTAGCCTACAACATATGAACAAAGTTTTAGAGGTAATTATTTTATCTCATGAAATATTTCTTTAACACATTTAGTTAATGTTTCCAAGAAAAATCCTTACTTTGAAAAGTCTAATTCTTATATATGGTGAGTAATCATTGTTCTAGCTAAATAAATAATTTAATTTAATAATTAATTAATTAATAATTTAATTTATATCTTATTGGATATATTTCTTGCAACATCAAATGGGTTGGATTTTTTTTTTCATTTCCTACAGTGATATTTTTAAATTATTCCTTTCAAGAATAATATGAATGATTCTATCCACCAACCAAAAACTTTGTCTGTCTGTGAATGCACCTCTTCCTAAGTGAATTGACCAATCCAGTCCAAATTTGGCATGCTAAGTTAGTAGTCCAAAAGCAAACCAAATTCATATTAAAATGTCTTACTTATTGAAAAAACTAAATATTTTATAGAATAATCCCTATATTGTTACTGCAGTCGCTTTTATAAATAGTTTGGTTTAAACAAAACTTGCACCATAATAAAATTCTCCAAGTCAAAGATTATAAATAAGATTTTCAGCATTTTGGCTTGTTTCCCATAAAACCAAAGCATGCAGTAATAAAATATCTAGCTACAATATAGGGGATAACATATTACTGCTGTTTAAGTTTGCTACTTTTTTCTAATTCATATCTTTTAACTTCTTGTTTATACTAGGGTTAGAATAAATGCTTAAACTTCAATCAGAGAAGGACTTCATAATTAATATATTTTTTATGATACTTCTTTTTTTCTTGATGTAGAATATAGTTTTCGGTAGAAGCAAAATTCAAGATTATTATTAAATTTAATGCAATAAGTGTACCTAATTTAGATAGTAGAAATCTTGACAACATCTCTACTGTGAATTGGGCTGCTTTGAACAAGAAGTGCCACAACTGCTTTCCATTTCTGCCAAGCTTCTCGACTCTACACCTCCTCACTTCTGTTTTACAACAATTTACTTGGAAAATGAACACTACTAAAAATTCTCAGAGATTTTGCTCATTTTTAGCAATTTGTGCATGTTTTCATGGTAAAAACAGAGTGCAGTCTTCTTAAAATTACTTGCAAAACTTTTAATGTAAGACATTTAAAGCGTATTACAAGAGTTTCAAAAAGGAAGCCCATTATGGGCTAATAGTTCACTTTACTTGTAGACTGTTGACTTCCACCAAGGGCAGAGCTGGGTATACAATTTGCCTGTAGACTGTTGGGCTTACACCAAGGGCAGAACTGGGTATGTAATTTGCCTGTAGACTGTTGGGCTTCCACCAAACTCAGAACTGGGTATGTAATTTGATCTTTTGGGCTTCCACCAAGAGCAGAGCTGGGTATGTAATTTGATCTTTTGGGCTTCCACCAAGAGCAGAGCTGGGTATACAATTTGCCTGTAGACTGTTGGGCTTCCACCAAGCGCAGAGCTGGGTATGCAATTTGCCTGTAGACTGTTAGGCTTCCACCAAGGGCAGAACTGGGTATGTAATTTGATCTTTTGGGCTTCCACCAAGAGCAGAGCTGGGTATGCAATTTGCCTGTAGACTGTTGGGCTTCCACCAAACTCAGATCTGGATATGTAATTTGCCTGTAGACTGTTGGGCTTCCACCAAACTCAGAACTGGGTATGTAATTTGATCTTTTGGGCTTCCACCAAGAGCAGAGCTGGGTATGTAATTTGCCACTCAAATAATTGCACATCTACTTAATTTTATAGAATTATTTTCTCACTTTTCCTTACGTCATCATCTGCTTAGTTTTAACTTGCTTATATTTAAGTGAGTTAACAGATAAGTGAACTTCATCATTAAGAGTAAAATGAAGTTTGAGAATACTCACTTTTCAGTACACTGTTTTTCTTGAATAGAGTTGTTTAAACATTTGTTTAACAACAATTGAAAGCTTGGAATAGTCTATTCTTTCATTGGGGGTGTGTGTGTGAGCCAGACTAGTTTGGGAGAATTCCACTCCTCATCAGTGACCCTGGACACTACCACAATTGTTGTTAAACAAATGTTTAAACAACTCTATTCAATTGTGTACCAGCTGCCCAGTGTCGGCTAACAATACGAAGAATTAAATTGTGGCAGAATGCTACAAGTTCTTCAAATACCTATAGAATGATGGGTTTCTTTTTTATGAGTGTAAAGCACTTAAATACACCATTTTGACACTATTTATCAAATACTGAGTATCAAAACCGATATAGGGTTGGTGCTAGTTAGCCACATATAGGTGATAGGGATTTAAAAGATTACCTCAGATATTGATGTTCGTCTGAGAATTTTTATCACGTTCTTCATCTTTGCTTCTAAGCTGACTAAACCCTCTGAATCTATGGCTTAAAATATTGTTAACAGAGAGAATATGGTTAAACAATGCTGTCACATCTTTATCAGTAAAAATGCAAGAAAAGTACATTTAATTAATTATATTAATTGGCAGGTTAATTTTTAGTTTTGCTGTAAGTACACAGCTTGCTCTGATTGGAAGTTAATCACTGTACATATTCAAATAGAATGTCTTGGGTTTTTTTAGTTCAGAAACTAACCCACTCACTAGCCACAAGCAACCATGGTGTTTGCATTAGAAACCCTACTTATTTTAACATAACATAATGTTTAGGGATAACAAGGGACCTATTGGTTTATTTAGGCTGCCCCATCCTCTAAACTAAAGTTAAACTATTAACTAAAAAAAAAGGGCCTTTCACCATGAATCTTCTCTTTAATTGAAAAAAGTTTGTATCCTTTGAATTCTGACCTTTTTATTTATTCCAAAGATTTCTGCTAGTGTTCATCAGTGTGAAGGTAAGCCTTGGAATCTGCAATCTTATTTCAGTTATTTTTCCATGTTTGATGTGCCATCAGTCATGGGACAAGCCTTATTTTTTCCCTCACAAAGGTTTGACAGTCATTCAGCTGTGGTGGTAAGTAACCCATCAGGTTATAATCACAGTTTGGCTGATATGTTTTTTTTTGGCCATGTTTATGTACTCCTGTTTGGATTATATTTTGTATTGATCCTGGATAAAGTCTTCTGCCAATAATATAGAATGTAGTTTGCCTTAGTAATGTACACTTAGTGCTTTTAACCAAGCATAGATTCTGGTTACTCCTGTTCTAAATGCTATGTTAACCAAACCATAGTTTGTTTTGTACAACTGTATTGGTTATTAATGAACTTTTAACCAAGCATAGATTCTGGTTACTCCTGTTCTAAATGCTATGTCAAACCAAACCACAGTTTGTTTTGTATAACTGTATTGGTTATTAATGAACTTTTAACCAAGCATAGATTCTGGTTACTCTTGTTCTAAATGCTATGTCAAACCAAACCACAGTTTGTTTTGTATAACTGTATTGGTTATTAATGAACTTTTAACCAAGCATAGATTCTGGTTACTCCTGTTCTAAATGCTATGTCAAACCAAACCACAGTTTGTTTTGTATAACTGTATTGGTTATTAATGAACTCTATTTGTAACTTTATGAGCCTTTCTTAGTGTGTAATCGGGGAACGTTACAGCATCTCATCATAGCTTGCATTCTTACATTGGCTCTTTATCTCCATCACCAGTCCCATTCCCCTGTTTTGATATTGACCTGCTTACATTTTAGCTGTCTTTTTTATTATAAAGGTTGGCCTGATATTGAAATTTGTATTTTAAATGTGTAATAAATTCAGTCAGGCTTCTGCATGACACTTTCCTTCTTTTGCTTTTCATCCTAAGATTGGTATTTAATGAAAATTGGGTTCCTTTCCTATACACACTACTAATACTGTTGAATTTCTGTATGTTGGTTAGATATGATTGAATAATGTAGATTAGCTTTCGAAAGAAAACTTGAAAAATGAAGGCCAGAATGTACATACTTAAGGTATTAGCTCATCTAATATACATGGCAAGTTGAACAATTCCATATTGATGGGAGGAGGAGGATAAGGAAAATGATTTTACTGAAGAAGAAAGCAAATCATTGTTTTTCACTTTCAACTATTGTAAAGGTATGTATTGAAGGAAGTAAATTTTACTTTACCTAAAACTTATTAGCTTCTAATATTAATTTAGGTGTTTACCTGATAAAAAAAAATCCTGTTAGTTTAAGTGAATGATAATTATTTTTATAGGTTAATGAAGAAACTTGGATGATTAAAGTTCAAGCTGGAGTCACAGTGAGAGATTTGAATGAGAAGCATCTCCCAAAGTATGGCCTGGCTATACCCATGTAAGTATTTGTTACATTTAATGTATTTGTTGTTCCACTACAATAATGCTAATATCAGACCCTGATGTTTGAAAAATGCACGAGGGCTCTAAACAGTACACGGGGCTGATGTTAGCAGGCTGATGCCTACCTCTATTCTTTGTTTCAAAACTGAACAATAAAAGTTCATTTGTATTGACTAAACTGTATTGTTTTCATATTAAATGAACCTGTGTTTGTATTTCAAGGGCAATGTAAGAGGCAAATATAAGGTCTGGAACATTAATTTGATGAATAAACAAAGTAACAATCAATGAAATTTTTATATCCAGTAAAATTGGAAAAATTACAATGTTATAAACTCCTTAAAGTCTGGCACGTCGCATCTTGATTAGAATCATGTGGTAATTACTCTTTGGTAAATTACGAATTATTTTTCATCTGAGAACAATCTGTTAATGTGCCATAATGGTCCAAGACAATATATATATATATTTTTCATACATTACACTAAGACTTTTGATAGGGTAAAACACTTAAAGATGATATAATTCTTACTGGAGATAGGAATTGATGAGAAAGATCTCCAGGCCATCACAAAGATGTATTGGAAACAAACAGCAGTAGTAAGAACAGAACATACTGATGATGACGTTGTAACGTCAAAACATGTAGAGTCGTCAACTTTTTGAAGGCCATAGATAGTCCTAAATAAAATGTTTTTAATTGTGTACCAGTTTAACGTTGAATATTATTTATGATTTTAACATAAATTCTGTTGGAAAAAGCTCTGTCATAAGATTGTCATGTCAAAAACATGCTACACTTTCTGTATGCTTTCCATAAGACACCTAATTTATGAGTGCATTTTCCAAGACATGTTTTAACAGTCTGATTGCACAGAAATACATATGATCTACTTTCGACGACTAGACCCGTATGTTTTTTATGGAATAGCACGAACAGCTATTTCATTCTCCTGCTGTTTTTTATGGAATAGCATGAACTGCTATTTCATTCTCCTGCTGTTTTTTATGGAATAGCATGAATAGCTATTTCATTCTCCTGCTGTTTTTATGGAATAGAATGAATAGCTATTTCATTCTCCTGCCGCTTCAGATATGTGATGGTAGAATGGATATATCATTGGAAGCAACATGTATACACATGACTTTTCTAACTTTTCCAGATGGAGATATTTCTTCATTATGTTGCATTCCATTGTGTAGGGTACATGGATGTATTTGTTTCCTTCAAGTTTGTGGATTCTCACATGTTACAAGGTGCCACAATTTCTTACCACAGCCGAGGTACGACTTGTTACATCTCTCTTATTGCGCGGTCCTGGTGCCCCACATTTACCCATATTCCTTTGTTTGCCAATGCCATTAAGTGCAAGAGATATTCCCTTCTTGGACATTTTAAATATCTGGTAGGAACACATCTTGATCATCTGAATATTTTGTGTTGAAAATAACTGTAACACATCCTTTCCAAAAGTATTCACTTTTCAGTGCCATCACACTAACTATGAAATGCTGAATATCTGATATTTCTGTTCCACCACAAATTCACATGTGCTGGGGTTGTCACATGATTTGCTGATTTATGTGTTCAAATTTTTTTAATATAATTTGTGCTAAATCTGTTTTATTGTTTTACATTTCTTTACATATGTGGACATGATTCATGTTAATTCATGTTCATGTAATGAACAAAGTAATTGAACCACAAACAATTTGACACTATAAAATATCTGAAAATATTGTTTGTATTTCTTTGTAAATTGTCTAGTTTAGGATCAGTTTCAGACGTTACATTAGGGGGTGCTGTTAACACTGGTACACATGGAACTGGTGATAACTACGGAACAATGTCAACATATGTGAGTAAAGAATTTTCCATTTTACCTTTTAAATCTTATGTTTCAGTGAATAATAAATTACATTTATGTAAAACAAAAGATGTATAATAATTTTTAATGAATT